GCAAGTTATTTCATTTACCCTAGGCCCGGAACTGCAGTTAGGCACTTCGTTTGCCCTCCTGTTGGTGTCTGTAGTCTGTACCTGATTTAGCTCTTATTTCAACAACTGCCACTAAATGTAATAACATAATGTAATTAACTACTTTACTCATTCTATTTACTAAAATAGATAAATTAGGTTCGGACAAACGAGCTTCGGACAATCGGAGCCGTCTCCAAAAACCAATGGTGTTGAGTTTTGACTGACCCACCCGGCAGGGTTTTAGGATCGGGCCATGATTAGTTCAATCTCTCTCATCCTCCTTTTTCAATTTCCATTCAACCCTACCAATAACCAGAACAACTATTTAAAAACAAAAGTGATCAACTTCTTCCTGTCAAGATTTTGTGCAGATTCACACATTCTGCCACAAACCAAGTCAAGGAATGACCAGTGACCTCAATGATCAACAAAAATACACTTCTGTTGAAACATAGGAATATTTACTCTTTATTAAAGCTTTCTGGAAGGAATAAGGAGACAGCACAACACAATTTTCCTCACCAATTCAAAGCACAAGGATTAATTTTCTTATTTGGTTTAAACAGAATTCAATTTTTTTATGCCAAAAGAAAACTATTAGTGTGCGACAAACAGACTGCAATTAAAACTAGGCAGCTACAAAAAACGGGCCTATTTACTTCAAGCTTATCACAGAAATCAACACCACAAAAAAATATTAAAAAAGAAAAAAAATATCTGGGCATTTACAATAGCACTCAGCAATTTTCCAGCAAAAATATTTCACTTTCTGTTTTTCATTGCTATCTTTAAAGCATTTAGCGTGTAGTCATTTCATGTCTACCGTATCTAATGTGTCAATAGGTCAGTAAAACTAGAAGTGTCATACATAATTAACATTTCTTCATGAATTAAAAGTACTGTACTCACTCTATAAAATCCCTTATGACAAACATTGATTTCAAAAATTTAGGCAGATATTCTCTTGTCAGCTAACTTACATACTTACAATGCGACTTTAAGAATTGTGAGATTTTCAAACAAAAAGCAAGATAGGTGAAATATACTTTAGTCACAACAGACTGTCAACAGCTTAGGATTCATCATCATGATTTCTTGAAACCCACAAAGAAGGATTGAAATAGTTACCCAAAAGAAATAATTTAACAAATTGAGTACGGGTGGAATTTCCAGGGTAAAGAAAAGCAAAGCGTAACCACATTGTGATTGTGCCACATTGAACTTGCTAATAGAAATTGCATTCCAAGTTATAAGCAGCCATGATACGACCATCTCTATACAAATACATGAAAAAAAGAAAACAACTTATTGCTATGGATGTAGAGAAAATCTGAGCGAGTATCGACACATGAGGCTGATCCAAGTCATGAGATTGATTTGACACAGTAACTTCTTCAACTCTCTAACATGGTGGTGTATGACACACACACGCACACACACAGATTAGAGACACAAAGCTTGAAATAATGTTCATACAATGCCATGTAACACTTGGATATACATTCATGAATGATTGTACTGAATTGAGGCAAGCACTGACAGGTGCACTCTTGAATGCAATTGTAAATGTCAAATCATGGAAGGAATTTCCACATTAAGATTTAAAGAAAAACTAGTTCTGGTTACAAACAACATCAATACTCTACCATAATATTTTTCACACCCAATATACAGCCCAATATGGGATACATACAACACAACCTACAATCCCAGGAAACCAATTGGAGAATTAAAACCAGTAATCACAGCACAATAATCAATTTTCCCCATGAGAACAGCACGTTAGATATCTGTGTAATGGGTTGTTCTGTACTAATGATGACAACCAGAACAGATTAAGTAGGACAGAGTAATCATAATCATACAGAAAGTGAGATTTAGCAATACTTTGGTAACTTGGGAGCACAAAGTTAAACCTTCAGTGACACACACAGCTTGCATTGTTATGATGTTTATGTTATGGCAAGACATTTACAGGGCACAAAGAACCCTTAAAATAAACAGAAGGCAAAAAAAAAAAAAAAATATTCACAAAATAATTGTGCCTTTAAAACAAAAATTTGAGGATAAAATAAAAATATAACAAAAACAAAAATCAAGTAGATCAAAGGAAGAAATGTCAGAGACCCAAAAATTTTGATGGCACTTGGCAGCTAGCCATAGAGAAAAATCACTTATTCGTTCATGGGAGGGATACACATTTTTGTCAGTCAATGTTAGAACTGCAATGTCTCTCCACATTGAAAACATTCTTGCTGCACAAGTAGAAAAATAAACTCATGAATAGCTACTTGTAGAGCGTAGTAACATTCTTGAAACTCTACTGTAATACATCTACTTCATAGCCACAGCAGTTAAGCACATTGACCTCCATAGAATTTGGGTTCCGTCTTTCATTTAACATGATAAAAGTTGTTTATAAATAAAACATTTAGAAAAATAACATTACACAAAACAATGTAGAGATGAAATGGAAAAATTGACATGAAATAATAAATACTAGGTACTTAAATAAATGCCAATACACAATATTGTTACAATAAACATATCTTCTTTTTAAATAAAACTAAAAGCTTTGATCTGGACCTATAAATTTAACTTTATAGGAAATAGAATAGGTAATTTTGTCCTTGCTTTGCAAACTTTTGGAAAAAGAAAAATACATTCTAGAATTGATTATAGATCACCTACTGAACCTTATGTACATTTATATCTACAGCATTACTTTTAACACAAAAAAGGTTAATATGTAGTGGGTAAGAATAAGCAAGGGAATGGGAAAGGATGTTAAAACTAATGAATTGTTTTTGTAATATATTGACAGCACTATCATATCACATAAATAGACTAATGTTTAGTGGTGTATCTTATCACACCTAGGTGTGTTCCTATGTAATAAAATAGAATACAAGACCTTCACTGTAACTAGAGGGTATTAATTGAATAGGATGCAAATTTTCATCGCCGCAAACTTTGCCAAATAGGTTGAAAGCCTTCTGCAAGTCCTAGGAAAATACCCACATGTTTTAACATATTTCTAGATTCATCCATCAAGCTGCATATCTCCATCATCATTATCGTCCCCCTCATCATCCCCATTGTCGTCTTCCTCTACATATTCCTCAACTTCCATCGGTATGTAACCTTTTCCAAGATGCACACATTGGTCTATGACCATCTGACAAAGCTGCTTCACCCGTTCATTCACATCAGTTTCCATTAGTTGTCTTAGCAGAGGGATGCCATTCTCTGATTCTAGCAGAGGACAATACTTGTCAGCTGAAAATGAGACAGGAGATAAGGCTTTTTGTGATTCAAATTCAGACACAATAACACACTGAAAGAGAATCAACGTACGGTAAACTCTTGTAAGGTTGGCAAGTGCCCATGCCGCCCAATGTTGACACTCAGGAGTGTGGGACTTTCGCAAGAGACCAAGAATTGGTTCAAAAGAACGATAATGAATAAATCTCTGAGTGCTCAAGTCCCAGCATTCTATTGCAAAGACCATTCTCCTCAATGCTTCTGCTCTGGAGGGTTCATCAATGGTCCAGTACTCCTCTCCATCAGATGCCATGTTTGACAGGACACCAGCAGCATTGTAGCTTACCTGAAACAATCCAACGATCAATTTAAAACACTGACTTTGTTCATGCCATAGTGCAGCTTTCATAAAGTTTGAAAATTAGCATAACTAGCAAAATGCGGTGAGTTAATCGACATTTAAGGCTAAGTACTGTACCACAATAAAAAGAAGTAAATGAACAAACCTCAATTCCATCATAATCAAGAAGCTTTGAAATTTCTTGAACAAACCGGCTGTTCATTAATTGAGGCCGAAGCCAACTGACTTCAGCAACATTTCCTAGAAGTCCCAACATATTGCGGATCATTTCTTCCTTTTTGGGAAAAGCCTGAAAATATAAGAATATTGTTTAAATAAATGTAAGCATTTTGAGCAACAGAGAACAACTACTACAGAGGTAAGAGAAAAACATACTCTTAAACATCGGAGAAACATCTCCATGCCATTTCCATCCAAGAAACGCTGACAATTTCGAGGGGTTTCGTCAGTTGCATTCCACATAGTTGACCAGGCTGTGTCAAGGATTTCCCCGCTCATCTTATTTCTTAAATGAGATTCAATGACTGCAAGCATCCTCTGAAAATTTGTAACAATTAATTTAAAAATTGTTGGAAGTGATAAAAAGCAGTTACATAAACCAGGTAAAGATATTGAACATACATAGATGGTTCCATAGTCACCCATATGCTCTTTGTCTTTACTGTCAACTGTCACAGCAATAGAATTGAGCAGTGTTATACCGTTTCTTCGGATCGGACCCTCACCGGTTTCTACCCTTCGGAGTGTCAGCTTTACTATACGCTCAAAGTAGAACAACTACAACAAATACATTTGCAAATTAATGTCCTATAGACTAATACACTTCTGGCATAATAACACGGCAGTAGGACATTTTTTCATTTACCTCATGAGGTGTGAAACGAAGAATAAGAGTCAAGATGAGACAGCAATTTTTCATCATAGTTGCCGTAGCATGAGCCTCCAAGCCATTCAGAAGGGTCCACATCAGCCTTTGCTTAGTCTGAGTATGCTGTCCTTTTTGCAAGTGCTTCATTAAATAATACAAAGAGGCACTGAAACAGAATCAACATTAAATAGCACTAAGTTATTCCAAATGTAGCACCAAGTTTTCAGAAGGGGAGGGAGATCATTCACTCTACCTGCCAGTAGTCTGGATACTTTCATCATTCAAATGACGATCCATAATTTGAATAACAGTATCCAAACACGCCTTCCAATCATTAAACATTTCATTGCGGAGAATAAAAAATATTTCATGTAACACGTTTTTTAACATTGGTGGACGTTCCATGTAAGCTGAAGCAGCAACTAGAAGTTGAGCTTCATTAGCGTCTCCAGACACCTGAAGATAATAAAAATTATAGTCAAAATAAAAATAATTCTTTTAAATAACAAACATGTGTAAAAACTAACCACTTTTGCTGGGATGTGGTGTCTTGTACTAGCAGCATGACTGGTATAAAATAGACCCAAGAAGTGTAAGGGATTGCTAGCCCTTGACACTAGACCGGGGATGTCCGATATCCCATCTTTTGCCATAGCAACTGGACCTGCCAAAAATACAATTCTTGTGTCACTAGTGGTAAAAGGAAAGCTTAACAAATACTTCCTGTTGAAAAATATTGACTTACCTTTCCCAGCTAGGTTGGAGCCAGAAATGTCAAGTGATACAAGATTTGGTAGTGAGGTGACGATCAGATCAAGATAATAATCTGGTCGTTTATACATTCTTGGGGCTTCCTTGGGTACTGGTTGAGATAGGTCCAAATGCCTACAAATAGTGAGTTGATTTGAAACCATGGATATTACCACTCAACTACTCAATTTATTTATGGTCTTACCTTAGATTTTTCAGTTTACAAATAGAAAGAATGGTGAAATGCATTTCCTTGACATTATAAAGAATGAGGGAAGTGAGATTTTCAAGAGGAGTCACATACGACAAGTCACCCAGGTTGCAACAGTTTGAAAGATCAAGGTGAGTTAGGTTTCTTACTGGGGAAATTAAAGATTTTAGCCTAGTTTCACACCCAGTGAGGTCATTTATGATCAACCTTTTCAAGTTGTGAAGTTTTATGTCAAAGCTACCACTGTAATAAGTAGAAATAAAAAAAATATATATATAGTTTTTAGACATTGCAAGAATACACAGATTTATATAACTGACAGAATAAAATGAAAAGTTTGACTTACTTGCTTATGCACAGGGGAGGCATGCCTGATAACAGATTTCCATTGCTTGCCAAAGTTAATGATTGCAAAGAATCACCACCATACTGGTTGAGGTACTGGATAAGATTAGGAGTAAGTCTGTCACAATTTCTAAGGTCTAATTCCACCAGCTGTTGTGTAAGGACAACTATTAGTCCAGCATCTGTGACATCAGCATTGCGGAGATGAAGACGTTTGATATGGCAGTTTGATAAGGCCAATAAATGATCATCTACAATGTATCCAAGACGCTGATACATGTCAATGAATGACTCCCATACTTCAATCGGTAACTGAACATCTTTCCTCTTTAAAATGTCCACATTCTCAGCAATGTACTTCAAGCAAAGGGACTTGAGTTGTGGTGGTGACTGTGACCACAATGACAGCAAGGCCTGCATAGTAGATATTTTAAATTCACATCTGTAAAATCTAAAACCAAAATACAACCATGAGTAATGATAAACCATAAGAAAAAGTTAACATAAGCACAGTAAAGCTTCCTCTTACATTACTAGATCTTCAAAACAAAAATAACCTCAAGTCACTGCTTAATAAACAAAGATTATTTTAATTTCTTTTTTCTCATGAATCTATAGTAAATTGGCTTAAAGAGTGTGTTAGAAAATAGCTCTTATCGTTCTTATCAAAACTTCAGCGAAATGGTCAGCATTAGCCCATTCTAGATTTCATATGTTCGGTGGTCATTGAGACATACATCACAACAACAATGAGCTTTTCCCCCATCATGGGCGAGACAATAAACGACCCCACATTGCAACAACGGGGTAAGGGCATTAAGCTGCAGACGAATCGAACTTTTGAAACATCCACATTAAAAATATCGAATGACTCGGTCACAAATGTAAAATTTGGAAAGTTTGTTTGTTTTGCACTGACCTTTCGAGAAAGCAGGCGACAAGAAGGGCCAAGCCTAACGATCAGCTGTTCTCGATTTCGATCGCCTTGTCCTCGTCCCTTCACAACTCCACTCACAAAAGAATTCGTGAACACCCTATCTCAAAATTCACAAGTCAATCAAACTTCTTCGCAAAGTTACTTCACATGCAATAACGAAAAGGTCATGGTACACATTTACCTATGAAACAATGAAGGATGAAGGGTGTTTAGTATTTTTCATGGATGTTTTCATTCTTACATATAACAGAACGCGCATGCGCAGTTACTGCACTGCATCGGGGCTGCGTTCGGAAACTGTTATTTATTGCTGGTAACCTCTTTCTCTTTCTCTCTCTCTCCTTTGCTCTCCGCGCTATGCGTGCAAGAAAGACGTAAGGAGCAATTTCGACACATGCATCTTCGAACGCAGACTTGCAACACAAGGCCACCATTTAGCCAACCCAAGAAAAGATAATTTTTACTATTGTTACCATTTTAACCGTTTTACATCGAAATTATAGTTGAAAATTAAGTGATCGGTATTTGTTTGATGAACTTCTTTAATAATTTGATTTAAAAACAAAATTGTTGATCTCGGATTTACTATTACGTTGTTTTATCAAAGTTGGAGTACTTGGTAGCTCGAAAGCGGGATTTTCAACTACGATAGAATTTGTAATGTTTGCTTACTCTCCCAAACCGAAGTAGAAAGTAAATAAGTAAATAAAAACAATACTGTGACGTTATAAATACCTACATGTCAATCTATGAAGAGTACTTGTCGCTTTCAAGACCCCTAAATGCAAACTGGCGACACACCGTCCGACATTCCTGCCAGCCTCCTGGGAACCCTGGAAACGCTCATCTCGTAACGCGTAACGTAATCTCTTGTCGGGTGCGTCGGGTGTCGGGTCCGCCCCTCTCCTCTCCCTCCTCGTCACTCTTCCCTTTCCCTCAGAACCACCCACCGTACACAAAACAGATTGTGATATGTCTCGCCGCTCAGCAGCAACCTTCGTCGGAAACTGGTGATTGGAAGGAAGCCGGGCGAGTTCCAGCATATTGATCTAGTACCAGTAGTATGGCGATCTACAAAGCTAGGTACAATATAGTTTTAATGTCGAGCGTTTCGAGCTCTGTGCCGAACCTGCCATTGACTCCGCTTCTGTGCCTTTATTGCAGGTTAAAAGAGTTTGATGTCGCCCTCAGTGCAGAGGAAATTGACTTACGGAAGTTAAAACAATTATGTTTTCATGGTATGTTATTTATTTTATTTTTTAGATAGAAGACAACTTTATAAACCCCAGAGGGTCTTCTGCATGCAAATGATACTTTTCTCAACACGAACATCTTTACTATCATGTTTCTGTTTTTATCAGGTATTCCTGATGATCAAGGCACAAGAGCTTTATGTTGGAAGCTACTTCTCAACTACCTCCCAATTCGGCGGTCAACATGGAGTCAGACACTAAGCCAGAAGCGAGACCTATACAAGCAGTTCATTGGTGAGACATGCCTCCTATTTTGTTTTAGATTTAAATTTTAAATATGTATACATGTTTTTCTTTACAGAAGAAATGGTGATACCACCAGGTGAAGTTAAAGAGGATGAAGAATCCTGCCGTATTGATGTCACTTGTGCTGATCATCCTCTCAGCTCAAATCCTGATAGTCTTTGGCAAGCTTTCTTTAGAGACAATGAAGTCTTGTTACAAATTGATAAGGATGTCCGGTAACTATTTTGATTTGATTATGGCTGCTGCTTTTTATTTCCTTTCATTACTAATCCTCTCTAAATTGCTAGGAGGCTCTGTCCAGACATCTCTTTCTTTCAACAAGCTACTGAAGCACCGTGCTTTAAAGTTGTAAATAGTAAAGGACTGCGACGTCTTCACCGTAGAGTCCAACATACTGTACTAAATTCGGCAAATGTTGAACGAAGGGGACTGGGTGTGACCAAGGTTAGTTTGGTTATATGCTATGGTTTGTACTACGGTACTCCTCGTGTGATGTCTAAAGTTCAATACTTAACACTTAAATTAAAACTAAACCTCAATTCTTTTGCTTGCTGATGTCAGTAGCAGGTAAACTTGAATTATTTATGTGTCTGACAAATTGTGAACAATGCTGTAGGTAGGTAAAAGAAAAGGTTACGAAAATGTTAATTCCAGTTTTATTATATTTGATTTAGATTGCTTTGTTAGTGAAGAAAGCTCAAGAAGACTATGCCCCAATGGCCGAGGGCAGTGAGGCTCATTGGGAAGTAGTTGAAAGAATTCTTTTTCTGTATGCCAAACTAAATCCTGGTCAGGGATATGTTCAAGGGATGAATGAAATAGTGGGACCAATCTATTATTGTTTTGCTTCAAACCCTGATGCAGAATGGAGAAGTAAGTCAAATTTCTTGAGGATTGGGAGTAGTTCATGTAGTATTCCTTTGCTAAAGTCCTGTTGTTTTGATATTGTTTTCTGAACAGAACATGCTGAAGCCGATTGCTTTTTCTGTTTTACAAACTTAATGGCAGAGATAAGAGATTTTTTCATTAAGAGTCTTGATGAAGCTGAGTGTGGGATCAATAATATGATGTCAAAACTGAGTGACCAGCTTCGTCAATGTGACCAGCCTGTTTATTCACGACTACAGCAATTAGAATTAAGACCTCAGTACTACAGTTTTAGGTGGTTATTTCACCTCCTCTTGAGAATTTTCATGTAACAATTTGTGGCTGAAGACTCTCTGTTACTATTTAATTTGCTGCAGATGGCTCACTCTACTACTATCTCAGGAATTCCCTCTGCCTGATGTTCTTCGCATTTGGGACTCTTTGTTTGCTGATGAAAATCGTTTCTCATTTCTAATTCACATATGTTGTGGAATGATTGTGTAAGTAAAGCCCAATACACCCTCGAGTACGATTGTTTGCCATGGAATGCTTGTTGACAACATACTGTTCATTTTCAAGATTACTTCGGGAAGAGCTTTTGGCGGGAGACTTCCCGGCAAATGTCAAACTGCTGCAGGTATGGTAGACAATTATATGTTGGTGCAGTTTTAACATCTTTTGTTATTGAGCTGTAATGTAATGGCAACACATTTAAATATTATTTTCAGAATTTTCCTCCCATGGACATTGCCGTTGTTCTAAGAAAAGCTGCCAAACTCTCAGGAAGAAGGTAAGGTGATCTTCATTAAATAGATTCCTTAAATCCTTGTTAACATAATTTTTTACATTTCTTTTTCAGTAACGGTGATTGTCACTGAAATTGGGAATCGTGAGCAGATAGAGTAACGTGCTCGGTAATGAATGTGCCTTTTGCCTGTGATTATCCTTGTACATGTTTATCGTTATTCATATTTTTATATCAATCAATTCTTTATACTTGTAAGTTAGCAATGCTCAACTACTCAAGGCATTTATTTGCAAGCTGAGCTGACCTTGTTAAAATTTCTTGAATTGGAAAGAAACATTATGAAGTTATATATGAGGTTATATCACAAGACTCACTGTTGAAGGATTCAAAAGAGTGAATTTAGGCATCTATGTCCCTTAGTACAAAATTGTTACATCTGGTAAATGTCCTTTGCTCTCTTTGAATGCATTTTCTTATCAAAGTAAAACAAATTGTTCTCAGGGTCTCTAAGGTTTAAGTATTAATCTCTCTCTAGCCATAGGGTGTGTACTTTCTACCTCTTCCTACCCGTATTTATGTGATGGAATATTATAATGATCAAATATATATTTGTTATGATTTGATTTTGGCCTGATTTTTATATGAAGTAGAAAACGTTTATTTACAACCACACAAAATGTTTCAGAAAATAATTGGTTACTCTACAGTATCTATTCCAGAGTTACATTGTCACAACATAGACTGGAGCCTTATAACTGAATGTACAAAGTAGTAAAAAATTCAATGCAAGGCACATCTAAACTTAACACATCAAAATGGTTATAGGAATTCCTTCAGAAATATGTTGAAATTCTATAAGTTGCACTCATAATGGAAAGGGACTTCGCTACTGAACACCAAAGCTAAAAGGAACAGCTAACATCACTTTCAATTTTTGAACAACAATATTTGAATGAGGCTGAAAATTTGCCTGCATGTATAAAAATTGTTAGATATATTATTATCAGTCTTATAATTATTTTTAAAATCTTGGACAGAATCTACAATACTGAGTGGACTGTGATCACAGACATTTCCTTACAAAAGTTGAGATTTGACCTCTGGAATACTCAAGAAAATTAACTTGCATCTGTGGTACTTAGTCTTGAATGGAAAATACCTCTCTGGTTGGTTCAGCATATTCCTTCATCTCTGATCCACTGGCTTCAACTTCACCAGCAACTGAAAACTGATGGTCTTTCACATTGTTGTGTTTTTGGTACATGTGCACACGTAGACAACTCTTATTTTTCATGACTTTACCACAGTGAGGGCATACAAATAGATCATGCGAAACACTGTGTTTGTCTCGCATGTGAATCCTCAAATTAAATTTGGTAGCAAATGGACGACTACACACTGGACACCATACTTGAATTATACGCTTTGGTCGACTGAAGAAAGGAGGTATCATCCATGGAAATCCTGCAAAGAAAAATTACATTACAATTAAATAAACGAATGAAGATGTAGTCTCAGTCTGTCAATTTAAATAGTTGAAGTTGAGGAAGATAAAAATACTCTCTGTTTGGGACAAGTACATGAAGTGATTCAAAAACTACAGCTTTCAATCGCTTAGATATCTAATATAGTCAGTGCAAGCATGATTTCTTACACCAAAATACTGCTGATGAAAAGGTACATAATCACACAGAAAAAATAAAATCATAAAGTATTGACAGATTTTTATTTTGAAAAGAAATTACAAATATTTTTGAATTGGCAATCATTACACTAACAGAAACTGACTTATGTACAACTTACTATCTCACAATTCAATCACAGATATCATAATTGTTCCATAAAGCATTTACAGACACAAAATTACCCACAGAAAACACAAATGAAAAAACATATCCTTGCTATGTTACCATCTTATGAATACATTAACAGTATTATTCTTGCAAGGCAAAAGAAACTTCCCACTAGATGCAAAGTTGAAGAACCATCAAAATTTGATGAAAGTAATATGTTTTGCTAAGACAACGAACACTGCTGTGCAGCAATTGAATGAGTATACTCTTTTAATATAAAAGAATAGGAGAAATTATTAATGTCGGAAAATGTGACATCTACATGGAGAAAAAGTCCACAATTCATTTGTTTCCTCTGTTTTAAGGTTTTTAAACCAGAAATTTTAAGAAAATAAACCTGAAAGTGTAGTAAGTTAGAAATTACAAACAATCAAATTGAGAATTGTTCCAAACATCTCAAAGAGAAAAGGGTAATGAGGAACAAACACATTGAAACAAGAGAAAACAGCATATAAAATTACAGAATTCTCAAGTTTTACAAACGATTTTAAACCAATCATTATTACCCAGAGAGAATATAAAAGACATCAATTTGAAGTCAATGATAAAAATGTGTCCCAAAATTTGATGATTTTTTGAAGAATTTTCGTCCAATTGATGTCTTTTTCATTGATCATTTCTGAGTTAGCCGGAGGCTCACACAACTGCTCAAAATTGGCCCAACACTGTTTTTGGATCAGCATTCAACAAATGAACATGCTTAGTGTTGCAGGCAATGTTTCAATTCCAGGAAGTCATTAAATTGCCAGTAACTGGTCAGGCAAAATTAAAATTAAGTTCAAAAAAATCACAGACAAATTATCGTCTTAACAATTGCAACTAAAAATCTAAACCTAAATGAACTCTTAAAAAAAAAAAAAAAGAAAAAAATTGATTTTTTGCAAGTGTCATTTAAAAATTTAAAGCCTTTATACTGGATGCCTAAAAGCACAATAGATTGTCAACTTTTCTTACTTTGTGGTAAATTTAATTTGCATTGTGAGACAGAAGAAAGGCACCAATGGTTCTGAATCATAATACGCCACAATGAAAATAACATGATTCTAGGCTCTAAAAACTGCCACATTGCTTACTCACATGTAGCTACTGGACACTGCTGGTAGCGTTCCAGAAGACATGTGATAAAAAAAAATATCACTAACTATTGTTTTCTTCACCATTATCCCATTTTTGAGCATCTTGAGGCACTACCCATCTTGACAGTTTTGCTATTTTCACCCGATCGTGGTCTTCAGGATGTGAGTGTGGTGATATCTTTGCTACATTGTTAGTACCACAATAAACCCAAAGACGGCTGGTACAAAACTTCCGTCGATCACAACGCCATTCAATAGTTCCATTGTTGACACGATGCCTTGTATACATATATCCTCCAAGTAGAAGTTTCAGATTCCCCTTCTCCGTTCTGATGTATTCAACTGTAAAGAAAAACTACATTAGAAAAAGAAAAAAATTATCCTTTGCACAGATAGAACATAGGGTTCCTCCTGCGCGCAACAGGAATTTTCCTCTACATCATTAGAAAAGTTACAGTTCTCTATAGGTAAGTTAAATATGAAACGAATGAATTATTGTATTGAAATGAGATCTTCAAATCTAATTTCGGAATCAATCAGGCTGATGTGTTTATTGAAGGACTTAGACACTGCAAATGGGAGTGCTGTACACAAACAACAGATTTAAACTTGAGAAAACTGTTTATTTTTATCTTGTACACAGAAGTCACAAAACTTGATTTACATACAAGTAAAAACAGTTCACATATAGTTTAGCACTTTGCCTATGATTTTCTATAGTTAAATGCTGTTTGAACACAGCTCATATGAAAATTTAATGTACTTGACACCAATACAAACATCCAGGAGCTGTCAAGACCAAAAATTTATCATACCAGAACGATTTCAGCTTTGAGCAAGTGCTAATGAAACTCTAAAAGATCATCTTCCTGAAATTATTGTCACTTAAAAAAGTATTGTTTCCTCTGGCTAGTCTCAGCACTTGCATAGTACAGGTACTACATGACAAAACTGGAAACACAAAAACTTTAGCACATTATAATACAACTGAAATAAAAGTTTCAGGTTTGAGACTTGCAAGCTTATCACTGAGCAAAATCCTGTAGCAAAGTACAGGAAAAGTACAGCATTTCTGTACAGGCATTTTTGTTGGTTGTGGTACAAGATGCACGTACATTTATACTGTAACGCCAATAAGGCTCCATGTTAAAAATTCATGTACTCCGTACTCAAAACACCGTACTTAGAAAGTGCAGGAAGACCGTAAAACAAGTTAACTAATAAAGTACTCCTATGCTTTTTTCCCACAGTGTATTCATGTATCATGAAGCATAATTACTTTGTATTTTCAAGAAAGTTTCAACATTTTGATTTTTAAAAATTTGTACTGAATTGTCATATTTAACTACAAATATAATTTCAAATAATTTACACTTGAGTATAAGACATTCTTAATTTTTTGAAATTTGTGCGGTGATATTCATACATGTGTGTGTTAAGACTTCTTTTATTTTTTGACATTTTCCCACAAATCATACAGGGGAACGGGCCTTTTAATTTGCCATGAATATTAGAATGATGGGTGACCATACAGGCCCGCGTTGAGAAGCGGCGATGGCATATGTCACAAGGTACTGACTTGTCTTCCGAAACTGTTTTCCTGGACGTAGGAAATAAGTCTTCAGAAAATTGATATCCTGCACAGAAAGTATTCAAATAATTATAAATCTACTGATACCAAAGTGTTTAGAGAAAAGTATCGACGAAGAAAATTATCTATCATGTGCCCTAAAATAAAAACAATGAGGAAGAACAATGCATGGAGACAACAAGACAACAAGCAAGGAATGAATGGATTGTTAGAAACCACCATGGGTCATAAGCACACTAGAGAGGGAAAATTGTGTAGATGTAGGAGAAAGAAATAATTATCTTAGATAAGGGAAATACACACACTCATCACTGTACAGTCGTACACCAATCTGCAATTCTGTTTTCTATTTTACTTGTAGCCTGAAAACACACATTCTATTCCACCTCCACCTCACTATACATACCTATACATCTCAATTCTGTCAGATAAAGATGATGTACTAGAAACACTTCTGGATAAAAGGATTCTTCCTAATCTGAGCACAAGAGGGAGCAGGGATACTTACCAAAATAAAATCTAAGGAGCCTGCACTGCACTGTTGTTGGTTGTGGGTAACTTTCCTTTTCAGCAAGAACCTTCTGATATCGAGTGGTAATAACTCATTTATTTTGCTTAACTTTTCAACGATACATAGGAAAGGCCAAAACATAGATAAAATGAAGAGTCTAAAGACACACAAACAGGTTAATAAACATCTGGGAATAACACAAGTTGAACAAACAATGCCAATACATATGGCACAAAAAACATTGAAGTCCAATGCTTGTATACAGCACCCAGTTCAAGGATATTACGAGAACACATTTAACACAGTTGTAATAAACACTGGCTTTGGTTTTGATACCCCAACTATACCTTTAATGGCAACATAGATACAAGAAACCTATACACTACAGATTGAAAATAATGCGAGACCAATTTCAATCCAGTGGGTCGCTATCAAGCAAGCTTTTACAGCTTTTTACACAATTACTTGTGTCAGCAGACTAGGTACATCCTTGATTTTAACATTCTTGTTTGCTAAAAAATTCAGAAATGAATGTAAATACTTTAGTAGGTACTAATCAAATCAAAAGGAAAAAAATGAACTTCACACAATGGCACACACAATTTTAACTGCACAAGTCACTTTGCAAAGGTTGTGCTCTACGTGAAAAGAATATTTTAGCAGACTTGTCTATCTTTGGAAAGCCATAACATACTTATTATATGCAAGAGCATATACAAAACTCAGTAAATAGAACACATTCGCACTTCTTAACTTAGAACTCAAACATTGAATATATATATATACTGTATATATAAGATATACTTAAATTCTTCTAATGTTATTGTACCATTATGCATTAATTGCCATCAGTCTATAGTAAAAAAGGCACATTGATTTTACTTAACGTTAGATTAGAAGAAAATAAAGACAGGAAGCTACAGATGGATTATTCTAAAAAAGAACTTAAAACACTGTGATGAATTTCAGTGACCATCATAGACTACGACTAGATGGATAAACCACCAGTAAACCTGCATTACTTAAATTCAGCAGGAAATCCCTTGAAATTCCCTATGAAAAAGATCAAGACTTAACTTCCAAACATTTTTCTAACATTGACCACTTCCTAATGCTAACCAGTGTCCTAGGGTGCTATGATAACTGGTACTCATTAATAATTCATGTGCTGAAATTGAAAGAATTTGCAGCTTAAGAAAAAAAGAAAAAGAAAAACGCATTTACTGGTGTTTTAAAAAAATGTGGTAAAAAAGAAAAACAGGGTTTAAACACAAAATTTACACATAGTATGATGGCAAATTCTTGGTTTAAAATCACACTCTATAGTTGGCAGCTACAAAGTTTTAACACATTTAAATCTACATGTTACATAATATGAAATTACATTACCACTAAAAGCTTTGGGATAAAACATTTAATTCTTTTATTAGGAGTCCTAGCCTTTTCAATTTGTAGCATAGCTACAAAATTGCTTAGTGTGCTACTTTGGCACTATAGCATTTCAACGATGTAAACCTCTCATGTATTTCTCCACATGTAACAAATACAATTTTACCATTGCAGAATGGATCCCTATCATAAACACTCTGACATTTAACAAAAGTCATTAACAGATTTAAAATGCTAGGAAGCAGTTGAAATAACAGCACAATCGGTGAAGTTGCTTGTTACACTTTCCACATGAAAACGAGAATATGTGCAGTAATGCACATTAAATGAATAAAGAACATTCTGACACTAATGATTGATTTTAAGCAATTTTAGGTCAGAGCTCCAAAGTGGTGGGAAGCGCTTTACATTTGTATGTTAATTTTTAAAAATTTATGGCACTGATAGATGTCTAAGATTATTGACTAAACCTGCTCAACACTGTGAACCCTGAGCATAAGAAACAAAGTATGGTGGGATAATCTGATTAATATGACTAGTAGATGCTGCCTAAGATTGTACAATTTCTTCATAAAGAAGAAAGTTTGTAAAAAAACTAACTTTGGTCAGGTAATTTGGTCTGGAAATTAGTACATGCTTATAAAAAAATCAGATACTAATTTTAAAGCAATAAAGAGTGGGTACAGGGCAATAAATAAAATCGAAGGGTCAATTCTTTTCCAAAACGCTAGCCTTATCATGATGGCACATCAGTGGTAGTAGATGGTGCAGTTTCACGAGAAAAATGATACTTTGTTACATGCTTCCGCAAACTGTCAGCATTCTTATAAAGTTGCATACAAATACAGCAAGTAAAGGGGCCAGCATCCTGACCATGCAAATTTCTCTCATGCGTACGAAGGTGATCTCTACGGGTGAAAGTTTTCTGGCAAAGAGTGCAACGATATTCAGAGGAAACACGGGATGTATTAGGCCTCCAAAGTTGATTGATGATGTTCTTCTTGAGGATGCTCACGCCCCTACTGCTGTTGTGGATACTAAGACTGTGTCGTAGGACTTGCAAGCTGTTCCCAACTTCAGTGTTTTCTGACTTGGGTGAAGGCAGTCCCCCAGGCTTGCCCGTTACTTTTGAATCCTCATTGTCCTCTTCATAGTGGTTCCCTGCAAAACCAATACAATATGTGGACAAAAACACTCAAACTCTACGTGCAAAATAAAATGGCTCATAATACTAAACATTCATGCACAATAGAAAAAAATAAACATAGAAGCAATCAAGAACAAAATCAAGAAAAGAAAACTGGTAAAACCAACCAAATGAAAGGCTAATAACCGTGCTTTCCTGAATAAAGTCTGATTACCACCAAGCACCAGTTAGAATAATTTAAAAAGTACTACCATTCACCATCAAAATTGATAAAAATAAATAAAATGAAAAGTAAATAAAATAAAAGGAGATGGAGAGACACAGAGAGAAGAGAGAAGTAAGTAGTAGAGAACTGCCAAGCAAAATTATTTTAACAAAGCCAAATTAAAAGACCAATGACTAATAATAAATAAAATTATGCTGCAAACAAATGAAAGTGATAAGACAACTGATAAAGACTCCATGACTAGATAAATTGGTTCCCCACCCTCAATTCAAATATTGAATGTTAAGATATGATACTCCCACAGAACTGCCATTACAATTTTTCAGTTTGTATGTATGCTGCCTAAACAAGGTTTGATGAAGGGACAAACTTTTAAGTTCTATTTGACAAGATGGATAATCTTTCAAAATTGAAAGTTAGTAACTGTTAACTGCAATTGGCGTGTTTCTCATGGCTGATGGATTCATATTAAGTCTTTCCTCAATTTATACAAGCACATACATCATGAAGAAAAAGTAAAGGCAATGAGCCCTGATCCCATTCAAAATAATAACGACAATTTTACTGGAGAATAGAATTATACACCGTACTTATTCAATTCGAAGCCGCACGCAAATCAAAGCCACGCCCCATGTTTTACAGGGGAGTCACAGGAAAGACTACACGGGCACTCGATTCTAAGCCGCACCCCGACTTTCGGGGTCGGAAAAAAGGGTGCGGATTGGAGTCGAATAAATATGTACTTCATAAAAGAAAAAAGAATGAAATTTCATTATATTCAATCTGTAAGAAAAAAGAGAAACCTTAAATATGTGGAAGTTACTAGGCAACTCATTTCACAGGATGTGATGAGTATGAGACAAATACATTCACTTCAGTGAGAAATAATTAATGCTTGAAGTATAGGATGTAAGTTCCCAACCACCCAGCACCAAAGAAGAATGGGGTCATGGAATAAACTAAAACTTTCACTTTGTTACCGGAAAAAGGGCCTGAACCAATAGTAAAACTGTGTGCCTTAAAATAAATTCATGCCATAATAAATAAAGCATGAATCAATAAATAGAAAACCAGTAGAAGCAGAATTCAATATTATAAAATAAAGAACTTTCAATGATAATAAAAATACTGATTGCACTACATATTATTCCCTGCACCAAAAGAGAATATAAAAGAAATGGCTAATTTGAACCGGAAACCAGTTAAATCAATCTGTGTCAATCATGCATGTGTATCCTAAAAACTTTCTTACCATTTGTTCCTTTTATCTCAGCAATCTGCCAAATTGTCTATTAATGTAGAAGAGAATTATTAAAACAAAGGGAAAAGCTGTAATCCAGCGTATGAACCTCAATCAAATTCACCAGTCACAAGACAATAGCTAATAATCTCCCAATTCAGCATATGGGGAAGCATCATGATAGAGCTTTCTTCATTACAGTGTTAACTCAAAACAGATCCAAAATCATAAACATAGAAAATGAACAAGTAAAGGTGAAAATTAGAATGAGAGTTGTGCCTGGTAAACTATTTTGAAATGAGATTTGGAAACAAAAATGAAGAACCTAGGAAATATGATTGATACATGTTGTATTTCAGTTAAGAGGCAATAGCAGGAAATCACAGCACATAAATAGAGGCATAACAAGATACTTCATGGAAACACAAATGTTCCAATTTCAACAGTGAAAAAATAGAAACAGACAATGGTAACAAGTTCCACGTAAGTACTCCTTTCTTAAAGAAAATAAAGAAAATAAAGAAAATAAAAAAAATAAACAAAAACAAACAGGGAAATGAAAATATCACATTTTAAACTGATTAAGAAAAGGATAATCCAATGAAAAAATAGAAATAAAATACAATGGAATTTCCAGAACTGTTAATGAGTAAAATTTATGGAATGTACTAAAACAATCTAGCCCACAGCAAAATTCAACTTCGTTCCCTTAACGTGATTCTACACCAGATCAGGTATTAAAGAGAAGAGGGATAATGTTAGTAACTGGGGAAATTCCACATAAAATCAATAAACATCATGCATATGAGCAGAATATTTTTTTCTGTTTCTTTTCTAGCAGAAGAAACTTGGTCAGTCTTTGATTTCGTTCCATCATTTCTCTGAGTGCTATAAACACATCTTCTGGCACCCAAGATACATCTATGACTTTGGAAAGGTGTTAGGAAAAAGTGCTTCTTTGAGAAAATCCTGATAATTTTAGAAATTGAACAACAAACCAAAAGCCAAACTTGACTTGAGAAAACCAGTGCACTCATAACCACCATTCAAAACAATCAGGCTAGCGAAAGGAAAAAGGGAAAATGTGATTGTTACATTTCAACAACACAATGAGAATTGGAATCCTTGGTTCCACAAGCCCGAAGGAGTAAACAGATTAACCTTTGGACACACACAGCTGGGGATCTAATAGTGATTCACTGTTTGTAATATTTGCATCAGGGGTGAGAAGGCTGCTACCTCGAGCACCTGGCCTATCAGCACTTGCTGAACTCTGGCTGTTACGTCCTCCACCGTGGTACTTCCACCTGTGGTAGCGCAAACTACTCTGATTCTTGAAAGTCAAATTACATAGTTCACAAGACACAGGTAGAGAGCTTGTAGTAGGATCGTGCGCATCTTTGATATGAACACGAAGATTGCTTGAGTTGCTATAAGTTCCTTCACAGTATGGGCACTGAATCTTGGTCCGTTTCGATGCAAAGTGTCCAACATTCAATCCAAAGGTTCCAAATCCAAAGCCTGCAGCAGCTCCACTATTCAGTTGAAATGCGTTCAGGGCGCCTGGAAAATGGAATGCACAATTCTTCACCCTTAGAATGGACATGGATTTAATGCTAGCACTAATGCTGCACTCCAGTAATGCACTTCCTGTAAGGAGAAATTATATCCCACCACTAAGCCTTATTTTTAGCAAATAATTTTGAGCAAATTTATTGACAGACTGAAGAAACATACTGTAATAGCAAGAGTACCTAAATCTACAAATAAACAATCCCCAATCAGTTAACCAACATGGGAAAAGGGTTAATGACCAAAACTTGTTTTGAATTTCACATTTGCTAAGTCCCGTAAAATTTCTGGTTAATGTATTTTATTTTAGAAAGAAAAGGGGAAAATGGGGACATTTGTAAAATTCTTTCATACATTGTAAAGTTTGAGATGGAGAGTGAGAAGGACATAGCAAACTGGTGGTAGAAAAGTCTGAAAACTTCAAAATTCAATCAAGGAAAAAATATGCCACTGATTGAGCAGCGGTGCAGTTTTGTCTATATTCATGTTATGAGTGGAATAGATTTAAAAACACGCTTTAGATGTAGACCACGATTCCACCTTGTGGTGACACACATGGATCCCCCGCAAAAACAATCTGTAAAAAAAAAAAAAAGACAAAGTAGTGACAAGGAACTTTTGATCTTAGGGGGAAGAACAGGATAAGATGGTTGAAATGAAGGATGAAGAATACATACCAATTAAGTCTATAGAACAAATGCTTTTCTTCTTGGGTACTTCTTCAAATTTTGTTTTTAGCACGTTTCGCGATTCATAATTAGGGCAGCCTATCTAGTATTAATACCATTCAAGGTTCTACATCAATAAAAGAATAAGAGCACTATCTAGATGTTACAAGAACTTCGGGCTCAAGTAAATTTGTTTTGTTTATGTTAAGTTGATAGAATAATAAGATTAACTCATCTCTGAAACTAAAAGGGAATTGAAAAACTTTTTAATAATCTTTCTTTCTTAAAATTTAAATAGTATTTGCCAAATCCAATGCTAATAATAAGATCCGTAGTATTTTTGTACAAAATGTACTGGACGTCCTCAGGAAGACAGTCATGAGTTCTAAATAGACTTGACAGCTGAACAAATTACAAACTATGTGATAAAATTTGTTTCATTTATCATGCTGTAATACATGGAAATAGAGCTATTTTTAATGAAGATCTAACTGAATTATTTCATATGAAACTGTAGTTTGCAAGAAAACTGAAATCTATTTCAATCAATCTCACAATTAGCTATCTGAGACTAATCTATTACTTCTGTTGGTACACTATCTCTTGTGACTTGGCTGTTCGTGACTTTCATTTAAGTGCACACCTTATTATTATAGTTTACAAGCCAATATTACATGACTCTTTCTTCAGTGAACCGTAACATAAGTAAGTAACCTTCTATCTAAGCGGAAATAACCACTCATGGTGCTCTGGATAGCACAAAACATGAGAAATTTAAAAGCTGCAGATAACATGTAGCCGTCACTTAACTGCACCTATGCATTCATAAAACAATGATGATTACCATGATCAGAATCAAAGAGACAAAACATGACAAAACAAGAAAAGAGGAGGAGACAATTTTATCAATACTTTAGAATTTCCATTGATTGGCACATATATATATGTATAACTGTATAAACAAACAAAATCCAGTTTTCAAATCTTTAGAACAAAGACAGACACATGGGAAGAAAAGTGTTAAAAGCAATGCAGCCTGTGGATGCAAACGTGGCAAATACTATGTTAGTACACAACTTAACATGCTCTCAATAAACCTGTTAATCTGTTAGAAATCATATCAGATTCTTGCAATGGGTAGACCAAATGCAAACAATTCTGTCAAAATGTTAAATTGCAGTATCTTTGGAGGAACGATGAATGAATAATTGAGATACAATTGAAGACAACTTAGATATGTACTTTTCTTGTTTGATGGTCAGAATGGAAATATGCTCTGTTTACAGCTATATTAAAGAGAGCATGTTGCATTTATGGTCCAAACAGAACATCTTTTAATGACTTTAAGGTAACTGCTAAAGAGGCCACCAAAAACTAACACAATGAATGTGTGATGTCAAACAAGGTAATCAATGCATCATTTGAAAAAAGAAACTGATCACTTTGTTGTTGTTGTTGTTGTTTTTTTAAGAGAGAGCAACTTGCAAGCATGTAACAGAAGACCTCTGGCTCAAAGAGAACCTTGTTTGACAATGACTGAGCAAGACACAGAAGAAAGGTTAGTGACTATTCCTTTGAAAGGAAAAACAAACTTCATAAGAGGATGGGGACCTATTTCGTCTCTGTCCTCTGGCTTTAATTATACAACCAAGGAAGAAACAACAAATCAGCAACTGTTTAAAGATTGTTAAACAACTTAAATTTTATGTATTTAACTTTAATACTAAAGAAATTTGTAAAAAATTAATAATTGTCATTGATAATCAAATAAAGACTTTGAATACCAAAATCCCTCGTTAGGAAAAAGATGACAAGTGAAAAAAATGACTAAAATGTTCTAAAATTGAGTTGTTTCTTCCTTGTTTGAAATTTGAACTAGATACAAAATTTCTACCAACTGATCCTACCTTGACTCGCATCCTGAGACCCTGTTGAATCACCTGGTCCATGCCCCGACATAGAGCTGAACACTGTGGGATCCATGCCTGCACAGAACAGAAATACTCTTAACACTGTATTATAATTTCTATCTTAGAAAATGCAACTAGCACTAATGAAAAAAATGATTTCGGTATGACTTTTAGGATACTTTTGAAATATTTGTTTGAATTTGTTACCTGGCATTGACTCTGCATGAATTCCACTATGGCTACTTTCCCCAGCTAAAAGAGTAGCCAAGGAATCATTGACATCTTTTTCTGCATAACTGTCACCACCCTCATCACCATCCATGTCTCTAGGCTCTAATTTAGGGTGGGTTAGTTCAGGATACTCTGAATGTCCTCTAATGTTGTTATCTTCATTCACTGAGTTGGCAGTGGCAGGGCTGACAGGTCCAGAGACACGTTTTCTCTTGAACTGTGGCGTCAGAACACCCCTTGTATCCTCTGGCAAAACCATTGATGATGAAACAGCTTTGCCAGGAAGGTGTGATCTATCCTTGGGCTGTTTTGCTAGTAACGTCTGAGGTTGCTGCATAGGGCTGTTTGGTGAGGAGCTCTAAAAAAACATAGATAAATAAGATTTAACCGGCAGACATCAAATAAGGTCGGGTAAATCAGATAAATCAACAATAAAACCTACCCGCTGACCATCATCACCAGTGAGACCTTTAACTTCCAGCATTTCAGCAGTCTTCAAAAAACCACCCAATTCTTCTTGGCACACATTTACCTCCCCTCTATACATAAATTGCAACAAGGCTTCCAAGTCTTTATAGGCTACATCTTTAAGAATTACTATGGGGTGTTTGCAAGGATTAACCTGTTGAATATTTAGTGAGTGATAAGACATGGGTTTAAAGCAAAGCTAACATTTACATGTGGGATGTGATACCCTAACTTCAGCAGAACATTTTACCTTAAACAAAGTTTTGAAGTATGGACTGCAGACGGATAGGACAACCTTGTGTGCCTGTAGAAATCTGCCATCAGCTGCAAGCGTTACATCAACTAAATCCTCCCCCTCCCACAGGGCATGAAACCCTGAGGTCATGTTGCTTTGGAAATTGTTCCATCTTAAAGAAAATTGTTCAGCTGTTGCCATGCTCTATCTGTAAAGAAAGCAAGTACAATGTGAATGTGATAACAGAGACATAGGAAGCATTCAAAAAGAGAGATAGAAAGTTAAAATGTTTGGTCTACTAAACAGAATACAAGAACTTAAAATTAAGATACCTAATTGACCATTTCACCCAGCGGCCACACTGGTGGTCTTCCGGTTGGTACAACGTCATTTATGATCTAGTAAAGGACTGGAATATTTAATTAAATGTGACTCCTGATTGTTGCTTAGTTGTCAGAGAGCCCGTCGCCAACCAGAAAACGCATATTAGGCTGCCTCCACGGGCCACACACAGATGTTGTACAAACCAGAAGACCGCCAGTGCGGCCGCCGAGTGAAATACTCAATTCAATTTGCATTAAATGACCCTCTTGTTATTGAGTATTATTTTGCTACAGTTCTCATGTCTTCACATAAGTAATGCGACAATGTGCTTTTGGACTCCATGAAAATAGCTTTTGATATCATCATTTTTTACCAATTAAAATTAATGATATAAAAATGTATGGACTAGTGATGAATCAACTGGACTTTTAAAAACCTTTCTTGGATGAAAAGAAATAAAGTTTAGACTTGATAAATTCCCAGGGTTCATATTTCAGAAAATAAATTAGGTGGAGTTTCATCAAAGTCCCATCAAAAATGGACGAGAGAAAACAAAAATCACCGAGAAAGTAATTTAACTACATTGATAGGAATTAAATATCGAAAAGTTAAAGAAATGTGCCGATGATGCAAATAGACTACCAATTCCAGGTTGATGTTGTTTCACCCCATCAGAAAAATAAGTCTCAAATACGCAATCGCGGGTTGTGGTGAGAGGCATCCGCTAAAATTCTTAGTTTGCTGAAGATAATAGAAATTTTTAACAACAGGGCAATTTTAGGGCGAGCGTTAACGAAAAGGACATTCATTGCCAAGCCTATCCCTCCCAGTCCATCCATGAAGTGGACCTGGTAATGGTCTCCGCAGTCTTACCTAAGTCGCCTTAGCGCTCTACTTCGTTCACATAGAAACATCGATTAGTGGCTGGTAGTTGAATGAAGGTAGTAATACTAAGCAACAAGCATCCACGCCAAAATAAACAATTCAGCAGGAACAAGGGAAATAGCAGAAAATGTTGGAGGAATAGACGCCAATCTCAACAACAATGCTTTTTTTGTTACACCAATGCCACCGCCTTTCAGAAAAGAATGATACGTATTGCATAAACTTGTTGCCAACAAAATACCTCAAACGCCTTGCTAAGAATTTGAAAATTTCGTGAAAATATACATTTGGCAACGAATATATATGACATATTTCACTCATGTAATACGAGTGTGTTCAGAAGCTGTTCATATTTCAATTCGTGTTTAATAAACGATTGCACCACTTAAACTTTACGTTGTCCGACTGCACGACGCAGTTTTGACGGTTGGTTGACATCACAAAAAATAATTAGAGGAAGATTGTTGTTATAGATTTAACGCACTTTTTTCTGCGATACACTTCCGAAATTGAATTTGTAATGTGTTAAACGTAAGGTAACGAAGTATACCTCTCTGTTTCGTAAATTGTACTGCCTCAGAACGAAAACAACGTGCGGTTTGTCTGTTACAGACAACATTAAGCCTAACCCGAGCAAGCTTTCTAATGTAGACTAACTGACTAAGCAATACCATCTGTTTCGGTTATCTTTTCCTTGCCTGTTTTTATGACATAATAATAACCATCTTGTAGGCGATATTAAATTGCTAATAGTCCTTGAACTGTACGATATTCGTGGTAGCACTGGTACCACTTGATGGTATATCGGTGCCCCATGTCCTCTTATTCATCTCTCACTGAAGAAAACTCTTATGAAAGAAGCAAGCTTATTTTAATCAATTTGTGATATATCTTCAGGAGGAAGCTCACTGTATCCAAGGATTACCAAAACTTAGTGGGGAAAATGTCGCTCAGCGCAAGTGCAGAAAACCTAACAAGCGACACACAGGTATGTTAATAAACAAATAAAATTACTCTTTTTGTTATTTTGAAGTGATTAACAGCAAATCTTACATCTTTTTCTTCAGAGTTGTGGTGACAGTAACAACATGTGTTTGGAATTAGCTTTGGAAGGAGAACGCCTCTGTAAGGCTGGTGATTGCCGTGCAGGTGTTGCCTTTTTCCAAGCAGCTATCCAGGCGGGCACTGATGATCTACGTACCCTGAGTGCCATCTACAGTCAGTTAGGAAATGCCTACTTTTATCTTGGTGACTATGCAAAGGCTATGCAGTATCACAAGCATGACTTAACACTTGCAAGGTACAATTTTTCAAAGTTTCTTGATTGTTTAGAAGATAAAAAGAGTTCTCTTGACATAAATCTCTGTTCCCTGATTATCAAGGACCATGGGTGACAAACTAGGTGAAGCAAAGTCCAGTGGAAATTTAGGAAATACATTGAAAGTGATGGGGAAATTTGATGAAGCCATGATATGCTGCAAACGACACCTTGAAATATCAAGGGAGTTGGGTGACAAGGTAAACCCCACTCAGTTTAATATGCTATTCTCAGCTAAGTGCCTCCACTGTTATTGCTAATATTCATTAAATGTACTTTTCAATGTTTTAGTTAAGTGAAGGAAGAGCATTGTATAATTTGGGAAATGTCTATCATGCCAAAGGCAAACATATTGGACGTGTGGGTCAGCAGGACCCAGGAGAATTTCCAGAAGATGTCCGCACCTGTTTGAAAGAAGCAGTTCATTATTATGAGTATGAGTTTTACACCAACTTATTAAACAATAATAAATGTTAGGGTGTCACCTGAAAGCTTTGCACTACAGTTTTTTTTTAATAATTTTTTTAGGGAGAACTTAAAACTTATGCGGGAACTGAATGATACTGCAGCCCAGGGCAGAGCCTGTGGCAATCTTGGCAACACCTACTATTTGTTAGGTGATTTTCAGCAAGCCATTCGATATCATGAAGAGGTAGGAAAGAACTGTGTTATTTTTAAAGGACACACATTACTGATGTAGTAGAACTTTCCTTCTAATTTTCCTTTGGTTTTGTTTCTTGCTCAGCGGTTAAAAATTGCCAGAGAATTTGGAGATCGTGCGGCAGAGAGGAGAGCTAACAGCAATCTTGGCAATTCTCACATATTTCTTGGAGAATTTGAGGCAGCTGCAGAACATTATAAGTATGAGCATAAATGTATCCCTTCTAATGATTCATAATTTAATCCCTCTTTGTATTTAATAATTTCAAATTTATCAATTCTTTAGGAGAACACTTGTACTGGCTCAAGAACTAGGAGATCGAGCTGTAGAAGCACAGGCTTGCTACAGTTTAGGGAATACTTACACCCTATTACGAGATTATCAAACTGCAATTGAGTATCATTTGAGACATTTAATAATCGCTCAACAGTTAATGGACCGTGTGGGAGAAGGTATTGTGCCAGTTTATGTGTATAGCCAAGTCTATGTTGGGCTTTTTGTTTGATTTTTTTATAATTACTTGTGTTATTTTTGCCATAGGGCGAGCATGTTGGAGTTTGGGAAATGCTCATGCTGCTATGGCAAACCATGAAAAGGCCCTTCATTTTGCAACAAGACACTTAGAAATATCAAAAGAGGTGTGATCTTCAAACTCATCCAAACATGTGCTTTTTAAAAAAATCAATCAATCTATCAACCTTACACCAATTTATCTGTGTTGTCCATAGCTGGGTGATCCTATGGGTCAAGCTACTGCTCAGATGAACGTCAGTGATCTACGCAAAGCTCTTGGCCTCCCCGTTGATGATCTATCTCCAAGCAGTCTAGAGCTAGTCTCTGCATTGAGCAATCAACCTTCGCCTGGGCTGCGGCGCTATAGGGTGAGGCGCCAGAGCATGGAACAACTGGATTTGATCAAGGTCAGATATCCCTTCCCTTTTTTTTTTACCCTTCCCATGATGCCCGGTTAATGGACCACTTCACTAACACGCACTCATCTGGGTGGTAAGGTGTTCAGCATGTGTAGAACCCATTTTAATCCTCATACAACTGGTTTGGCTGAGTCTGCTCATAAATTTCATTTGGAATTAATCGTATAGATAGGTATTTGAAAGCCTATCTGGTCAAACGATTCCTGTCTATAAATCTCACTGGTGGTACTTGTAGATTCTTAAGGCATGCTACAGGGATCCATAACTTAACAAAAAAGTACTCTTTATCAGATGCAGTGTGGCACAACAATGTGATTCAGGTTGCACAGCTGCACTAAATGTGTTAAAATTACAGTATGTAAACCATCAAAATGATAAGAATTTGTAATTTTTAAACGCCCTCTGTGATAAAAATTTACTGATTTGATTAAATGAGTGGACACAAGGAGTAGAGCCCCCAACTGGTAGGTCCACCCATGCATATTTTAATGTGGGTCTTGCTAATTTGCCTATGTCTAATATTCATCTGATTCTTTTTTTAAATTTGCTATCCTTAACACAAACCTTTAAATGACTTCTGTAACTAACACTATTTATATGTTACTGTAAGTTATGGACACCTGGCCTGGCAGGTTCATTGTTCCTCTTTACTACACCTACCCTTCTCTGGGTCTGACCTGTTCATTACCAATTAATTTTCCTGGTTGAAGTAGCTTGTAATTTTTTCTTATTGTGTACTGCTTTGTTTGTAGAATTTTTAGTTTTTTTAATTCTTTTTTTCTTTATAAAAGATAGAGCAACAACATACTGGTATTTGTTTGTGTTTGTAATTGATATCTTGTATGTAGTTTGGTGATGTTGCTTTGGGTTGCATCATAGTCTGTTTGAAGCTGAAGAACCTATCTAAAATTGTAAATAGATGCATGTGATGAGTTTTTTTTAACAGGATAGTTTCTTTTTGCAACCTGGGATTTAATAGCTTTTGGAATTTTACTGTACTGTAACTAAAACCAAAAACTGTTAAACAATACTGCTTTAGTTATCTAATTTTTGTTAGGGGTCTTTCACAAATTACATTACGCATCTTAGGCGGGGAGGGGGCTCTGCCCGCGTGACAGTCCTATCCTGAAGGCATTAGATGGTTAGGGTGACATTTGGGAAGGGGAAAATCGCCCAAAATTTGCGTGATGTTATTATGTGAACGGCCTCTTACCTATCCTATGCAATTGGATATCAAGTGGAATCGAAATCAATCCTCTGACCTGTCCGTAAAAGTTTTATTTGTTCACAGCTAACACCAGATGGGAAGCAGAGAACATCTCCAACAGCATCTGCAGCTGCAACATCAAGTGGGTCAGTTGATGCATGCATGGTATGTATCTGTTCTTCTGTTCAGTCTGTACATCTTTATTTTGGCAAAACTTGCCTTTCTAGTTTCCTGTATAAAATTAAATAAATTCATAACAGGCTGAGCATGCTGAAGATGAAGATTCGTTCTTTGATCTGCTCTCTCGTTTCCAATCAAAACGTATGGATGACCAACGATGCTCTCTCAAAAAGTCAGATAATAAGGAGAATACTCATGCCAACAACAATGGATTTCCTGTGTTTAAAGGATTTTCCCAGAAATTACCCCCAGTCAAAGCACCAACCCTTCCAAATGGTAAGTTCTTGTACAAAATTACCTTGCTTACATAGATGAATTTTAACTCTGGCTCAATATTTTAAAAAGTGGGTACTTATTCATAAATTATGTACTTTTTTATCAGCTGATGCTCAAGATGATCTGCTGGATCTTATTGTTGGCATGCAAAGCAAGCGAATGGATGAGCAAAGAGTTGCTCTTCCTCATTTACCCGGTTTGTGCCCACCTGGTAGTAGCCAAGGGCAAAGACAAAGACTGTCTCTCGCTAGTGGGATTGACGCTACACCAGATGACCAGTTTTTAGAGATGTTAATGAGATCTCAGGTAAATGAAAAATCTTCCATAAACAGGAAAATCTTGATGTGTCTGATGATGAAGTGTGATGTTGATTGAATCGTATGTTAATTAACTTCAAACTTTTGATTCTCACGTTTAAGTGTGCTCGTTTGGAAGATCAACGTAGTTTTCTACCTGGTGGACCTGAGGATGTTGACTTGGAGGACGTCACAGTGGCAGTTGATGGGACAGATGGTGGTGGAACGTCGACTAAAGCTCCAACTGTTCCTGATGAAGACTTTTTCTCCCTCATTTTAAGACTTCAATCTGGGCGAATGGAAGACCAAAGAGCTGCCGTTCCAACTTCTGTGTCCAGGTATCAACACCCACCTCTGTCAGAAAAAACATTAAATGCTAAAACTAGCAACGTAGGTGCTAGAAAAGACAAAAAATGATATTTAACCAAACATTTCTCATTTTCCTGAAATTAGTCATTTGGCAATCAACAAAAAGGAAAAATACTGCTTCTTGCACTCTTATGATTCCAAGTAGATGTTGGTTTTTAAGCAGCATGCAAGTTGAACAATTATATTTCACCAAAACACACAAAATGCATATGCAATTGGTTGCACTCAAATTGATCCATTACTCTTCATCAGATCTGCCATATGTGCCAAATAGTACAAGGAACCAACCATTCAACTGTCCTGTGAGCTATTTTTGCAAATGTCAGTATTTTTCTTTTTTGTTGTTTCATATTTTAGTGTTATGGGAGAAACCTTGCTTCAGGAACAATTTGACAGTTTGACTACAGTAGAGAGTTATTTAATTTATTGCTATCCCAAGTATTCAAAACAATGCACTTCAAGTAGCTGTTATAACTTTGTAAGCAATCATAGATGAATGTTAAAGCATCACTTCAAGTAGGTGCTGATGTGTGAAAAATATCTATCTGTATTGCTTTTCTGTACAGAAGCACAAGCTTTGAAAGGTTAAAAGGTATAATTTTGAACAGATTGCGACTGATTATTATTTGCTGTACTTTCCATTCATCATTTGCACTGTACATGGATGTCTTTAGTTCTTAATGGAATGCACCCTGAAAATGACAATTACTTCTACATATTTTTGTAAAGGTTCATAGTGCATTATGTTGGTTCCTTCTCTTGTACCAATGAATTTTTTTTTAAAAACGATTGCGACCATACCTGCTTTAATTTTATTGGTCAATATTGGACATCTGCTATTTCAAAATCAACTTGAACATGTTATGTTTATTGCTTTTGTTCCATTTGTGTTGTCTAGTAGATATTCATTTTGCACATAGTTTATGTCGGTAGGTGCCATATTTGAGCTCTAATTAGTACAACTATTATGTAATCTGTTCAGACTATTTTTGATCAGTATTATAAGGATTGAATACATTTTTATTTTGCTCCGTAGCATTTGCACAATCTTTCAATTTTCAGCATTTTACAAGTAATCTCTTGAGTTTTCATGAAAGAAATTGCTCGGCCATAAATTTTTGTATCTTCCTTAAGTTTTTAAGGGCCAATTGGTTCCGTTCTCAGATTTTCTTCTTAATGATTTTTTTATTATTTTTTTTTTTACAATAGAAAACTGTCACAGTTTCTGTCTCATGTTCATTTTGCCATGTTTTATATTTCATCTAAAAGGTGAATATTTTAATTTTCTAATTAATGTCAATGTATAGTTTATAATCAACAAATGTTTTATTTTTAAACAAATCTTAATTCCTTTGTACATAATTTAGTGGAATCTTAAGTTTTTGCGGTTTTTAACAACGCTGTGTATGTTTAGGTCTTGAATGTCATTTAGATATTAATCACCTTTAAAGATTTTGTAGACACACATATAATGTCTGTTAGTTACCTTAACAGAATGTAATGAAGGCCTAGTGACAAATAATCAAGGGCAGTTTCCTTTTAATTAAAATTATGTGATGAAGATTCTACACAAATCCCATTTACTTGCCAAAGATTTATGAATAGAATGGTGATATAACGAGTTATTAGAGCTTTTCATTTCATTCTCATGTTCTTTATTGTGCAAGTGAATACCTGACACCAGTGAATGAAGCATTTTGCTGTTGCATAGAAAACTATCTTTATAAGGCATATGATACTACATGGGTATTAACGGCATTGGTCTAGCATGTCTTAATTTAGAGATTCATTATTTAGTCACAACGTTTGTGTTGTATTATATTTTGCCACCAACTCTTCATAGGCTGTCTTTCCATGGTATGTCAGTGAGGTAAAAAAGAAAACATACTCATTCTTATTTGTTAGAAAAGCGACTGTTACAGTGATTTTGGTCTTATGATATGTGAGGTGCCTCACTGCAACTGAGGCAGCCTCAAACAGTTTGTGGATGGTGATTTTTTTTTTTGTTAAGTTTGCCTAGCCCATTGTAGCCTTTGGATCAAATAAGACGCCTCACCTCACCAAACTAAAACCATCAAAATCTTCTGCACCAATGGTATTCACTTACAACTCTCCTCTGTTCTTGCATTTCTATTGATTTGACTCATTACACGTTGAGTCCCAGCAAGGTATGGCCACCATTCCCACCTTGTGCCCACGTGGTACTCAACGTGTTAAACAGTACATCTCTGACTCAAGCTAGGAATTTTTCTGTTAATTTTCTTCTGTGGTAACAGCATACTTACTATATGTAATATTTTGTTTCAAATTAAAAATAATCTCCACTGTACTATTTCCCCACACTTCCCTGGAATATGGCTGTGAAAATCACTCTGTTGTAGATGTTCGTCTTTCCTTGTAAGAGAATATGGAAGGCTTTGCACTGGTGCAATATAATGTAGGAGCAAGTGAAACCTGTTAAGGTTACTCATGCACCACCAGACTGGGTGAAATCATTCCTGTTAAAAATACAGAAGTAGGGTGATTGTTAATATTCATCAAAATGTTTTTTTAACCCAAGGTTAGCAGTCCAATTCAAATAAAAAATTTTATTTGTGTCTGTGGTCTGAATGTTTGGATGGTACATTGTACATTGTAATGTTTTGTTTTTTTCATTTTACCATATGACATTAACTAATCCATTTATATTCAAGGAACTAAAATATGAATAAATATATATCGTATATTACAATTGATTTAGTCTTCTTTCTTTGAACTACTATTTTATGACTATTTTATGTATTGATGTATAAACAATCATCGGTACTACATGAGCTAGCTATCCTCAAGGATCGCCATCATGAGCTACTCCTAATAGTAGTGTTCAGATTGTTACTCATTACACAGCTTCTAATTCAGGAGAATAAATGAATTTAATTTATAGTTTAAAATTGAGAAAGTGCAGGAATGCACCAAGATAAGGAGGCACAAATTAATCCAGCATCACATATGCCCACCAACGTAACTTTTAGAGAAATAGACATAAATGTATTATAAGCCTCAAACCCCAATCTAACCAAACCCGAAACCTAACTCAAGTAGGCAAACCAAGACAAAAAGCAACAGAGCATTTAAATTTAAATTCAGCTGAACCTATGACGTAAAATGAACACGGCCAAGTGTAATTTCTTGTGGTTTTGGTTTTGAATAAATCCAATCACAGATTTCGTAATATTTTGTTTGTAAACAAGCAGAAGGGATAGATGAGAAGTTGTTTGGTTGTGATTGCGGTTGCGGTTGATGGCGGTGGCGGTTGTTGTTGTTTTTAATCTATGTAGCATGTTTCTTCTTTTGATGTGATTTTTAATAACCATTTCTTCGTTAGAAAACCTCAGCGTTCAGATTTTCTTCTGAGTTTAGTGTGCTGATAGGGAAGAAATACTTGTTCGGACAGTTTTTTGAGAGGTGGTGGTTGTAAGTACTCCCCTAACCTCTCAAACTGTGTGCACTAATCAGTGCCATTAAACAATCTGACTACTCCATAAATTTGATTTGCTCGAAGAATATAAATTGACATGAAGATGGCACAGAAGTCATTCTTTTTGTCTCCAAAAAAATTGAGCTGGAAGAGAAAGCGTTCAAACACTGATGAAGATGTTATCATAATATCTTCATCTGATGATGAAGATGATGACGATTATAAAAATGCAAATATTAATGATGGTGGTGATGACGTCATTTTAATATCTGACTCTGATGATAGCAGTGGTAGTAATGATTTGCATAAAGTATTTGCTAAAGCAGAAAAAAGGACTGCTTTAGAACAGAAATTGACATTATTTGTAAAAGAAGTGGATGACTGTAATGACAGCGATGATAGTGATAGTTTGCCGAACATTTTCATCAAAGAAGAAAAACAGTGTGTTCCAGAACAAAAAATGACAATAGTTAAAAAAGAAGAGGATGACTACAATGACATTGTTAATAGTGATGAGTTGCCTCATGTTTTTACAAAAGCAGAAAAAAAGAGTGCTGATCATAATTCGTCGGAAGAACTGGGTTTCAAACAGCATTTTGAATATTTCAGTGACGAGGGGTCCTGGAACTCAGATATTTCTGATGATAAACCATGTCTTAAAACCAATGATGTAGAAGTTGAAATGATACCCTCTCCAGGAAAAAACTTCTCATTAAATATATCAAATGTGTCAATTGATTTACAAAACGTGCGAAGAAATATGTTCAATTCAATAATGACAGGAAGTTTGAGAGGAATAAATACTATCTGTACTTTGAACCCTAAGTTATGTGCTGACAATCACAGCAGAGAACTTATATCAGGCTCACCAGTACCAACTGGACTCATTTTTCAATCAATTATTGAGACAGAAATTTTAAATGAAGAGAAACTGCAATGTTTTGCTCTTAGATTAATGCTTAGAACTGTGGGCAGTAAAAAATATCTCAACTTAACTCTTGCAAACCTATTGATCAAACTTTTAGTTGGATCAAGTGATTTTGTAAGTTGACATAGCCTTTATTTTGTTCTTCCTTAACAAGTAACATTTCATTTACAGATGATGTGATCCACCGACCATAGTCAATGTGGCAATGGCATAAAGTTTTCTGCTATAGTGGTGATACACCCGCGTAGAGGACGTCAAGTTAAAGTAAACGTCATTTTACTTGTTCTTAAGAATTTTTATGATTTGAAGTCAAGTCGAATCCCTTAGGTTTAAGTTATAATTGGAAGATGGTGGGGCGTTGCCACATTGCCTTTTGCTGCTGGGTCACATCATCTACTAACATTCATAAATATTATGTCTTGCTGATGCCAATCAATTTTCTATTCTTTTTAGAATGTAGCATCCTTTGCGGATTTTTTGATTGGAATTACTGTTTTAAACAAGCAGCTGTTCTTTCACCCAACATGCAAAGCGCGGATGCGGAAATATTATTTGAAGGTAAAGTAACATACCTGCACTTTATCTGTAAACTATTTTGTGACAGTTTCTAATTGCACCTTACAATGCACCTTACAGTTGTGTGAGGATTGGTTTGAAAAAATTCTGGAAAAGACAGAAGAAGCCTTATTAGAAGAACATGTAGAGGAGCAAGAAACTGACAGAAATGTAAGTAAGGTGACTTTTTAAGTGTGTACCAGCCCACTTCTGTCGTTAGACTGTTACTGCATGCACGAGTGCGGGTGGGTGGCCAACTTGGTCAAAAAGCCGCCGTAGTCGCAGATGATAGGCAAACCCACGCGCTCGCGTGCGTGTGCGTATGGTAAAGTGTAACTACAAATGTGGGTAGACATGTCAGTCCTGCAATCCAGTTCCATAAAATTGACCAACACAGATGAGTCTTTTTATTGTGCTCTTATTCTTTTACAGGGTGATAAACCATATTCTGAAACTTCTAGCGAATTTTTTGACATTGCCAATGTAGCTTGGCAAAAAGAAAAAGAAAAGGAGAAGAAATATTTTACCAAATCTAAGGGCGAAAAACTGAAAAGAGTAACTATGTTACTTAAAGTTTTTACAGACCTATTCAAAAACAATACCACAGTATGGTTGGTAAAACACTGGACCATAAAATGTCGCCCATTTAGGTATGAAGCTCATGCTCTCACATTTAGTTTGGTATTTTCTCAAGCTTTTTATAATTTTTGAATAAATATCATTTCGCCAATTACAGGACAGATATATCACCTGTTTTATCACAGGTAACATGGAAGGAGCGCAATAATTTTGGTTGTATAAACCAAAAAGTTAAAAAAGTTTTTCATCTATTTTCAAAGAGTTGTGAAGAGCCCAGCTTGCATGAACTTTGTAGAGTGAGTTACCAATTTAATCTGTTTTTATATATTTTTATTTCATTGAATGTTATAGTAACTAATAATCAGTTGTCCTCTTTTTCGCAGGAGTTAATCAGTCTCTATGCCATAATTATTCAAAGGCAAGAAAATGCTTGTATCCCATATATGGGTCCCATTTCAAGAAATTATGCTGAAAGTCTCTACTTTGAAATAAAAGGTAAATTACAAAAAGTTTAGAAAAACAATAAATGTAATAATGCCACCTAATTTTCATTGTTTTTACAGGAATGCCAAATGTATTAGAAACTGTCAGTAATTTAAGACCAGATTGGTTACAATTCCAAGTAATTTCATTAAAACTTGGTGTAGTACAACCTCCCAATTTTTTTAAAGTGGTAGGTTTTTAAAATTTGAATTATCTTGTCAAAATGTATTATGTGCGTTGAGTTATTTTTTGTATTTCTAAACAGAAGGAAGTGATTGTAAAAACTCTCCAAGACATTCAAGAAGGAAAGTTTGAGGGACCTGCGACAGAGGTAAGTGATCTAAATATACTCATACCCTTATTATTCAAAAAAGCTTTTTTCATAGCGTGTCATTCAATTGCTTTATGTTGCCTTATAGGAGAAAATGTGCTTTCAAGCCATAAGAAGTATGATGGGGATGTTAGAATTGAAATCATCCATTTCTCCAAGCTGCATACTTCAGGAGGAAGTTATGGAAGATGAATTTTTATGGTTCAGAGATTCCATAAACCTGAATAGCATATCTGAAAGTATTAAAAATATTGCTATTGTTTTAAAATCTGTTGAAGGAAAGGAGGAATTTTTTGATGGTTTTGAGTCATTTGTAAGTAGCTGATAAAGGATGATTGTTTCAATAATATGTGAAGGAAATGCCTTCCTAATACAAATTTTATTGTGTATACAGTGTTAATGAGTAAGACACACTGTGATATTAAATTTAGTGATATTGTGATAATAAAGATTGCTAGAAAGACATACCCTTCTTTCCAGAACGCAGACTGGTCTTGCAAATTCAAATCATGGTGTCCTACAGTTACAAGTGCCGAGCAGTGCAATACTTTTCACTGTCGGACACAGGGGGTCCTACACAAGAAACTGTAGTACAAATCGTATCCTACACGTATAACTACAGTACTCGGGCAACCCAAGTGTGTACTTGAATGCAGTATCTCTTTCATACCTACATGTATGCACAGGAGGTCCTGTGTACTTAGCAAGTATACAGGAGGTAGTGTGTACTTGGTCAAGTGCACACTAAAATCTCCATACATTTATGCAGGAGATTTAGTGTGTACTTAACTAAGTAAACACTACCTCCTGCTGCATACATGTAGGTATGCAGCAGATACTGCATTCAAGTACACACTTGGGTTTCCAGAGTAGGCCTACACAAATGGTATCACACATTAAACTGCAGTCCCATTGGTACTAAAAATATGATACTATGCGACACATTTACAATTTTTTGCACGTATTTCTGCGTTAACTTGAATACTTTTGTGCATATTCATTTGTATGCAATCATGCAAAGATTTAGCTGTACGGATAACTTTCTTTCTCCGACGTGCGTCACACTAGAGGGAAATGAGCGAAAAAAAGGGGTAAGGGGCTCACTTTGCGTGCTGATATCTCACAAGCAGTTTTAGATTGTATTGTTTTTCGAAAATTCTTAAAACTGAACCTTTTGCCAATTGTTTTAAATATATCCACCTCTAGCTCCGAAACGGTTAAAAATAAGACGGCATATCGGGGGAATGGTCTCGATTCAGACAGTGCCCCCCCCCTTTTTTTTGGGGGGGGGGGGTGTTACCTTTTTGTCGGTTTTTGATTAGATTGATAGCCCCTTGTCTTGTACGTCTTTATGTACTGCGTAGTCATTTTCGGCGTATTTTCGCCAAGAAAAAACCTTCAGCGCCCAAACGGGTGAAAGAGCCAAACGGACAAAATTTTTGATCCCCCTTTTTGGATCTACCTCTTTTTCTTTGAAACTCCCTTAGGGATGGTTGCCGGGATTTGTACCGGGCGTTTCGGTGTTCAGGAGTGAGCCCTGAGATACTATGAAATTTGCAAACCGCTAGCTCACCTCCTTTCCTCTTACACGACAGTCCGACAGACACGAGAGGAGTTGCATAAGCCCGCTCAGAACATTATTTTTAAAGCAGAAGGGGACGGGCGTGCTAAAAATAAGAAGATCGGAGATGACGAGCTCTCGGGAGGCCGTGCGCCTCAGGTAATTCCCCAGTTCAAAGCACCGCGGCAGGCGGGCGAGGGCGGGCCGGGCTCCTCGCTGTGTCTGTGAGGGCCCGCTGCACCCTGCACCGCGTCGGCCGGAGTGCTGAGGGAGAGAGGGAGAGTGCAGACAAATGGAACATGAAGACTGATCGCTGACGTATGCGGCTCCGCCCCGCCCCGCCCGTGTGACTACTACCGCAGTGCGGCACTGGCCTTCCTCCCTACGAGGGGCCGGGCGGTGCAGTGCAACCCCGATAGAGGCCCTGGTGCCTGCTTGCCCAGTGCCCCCCCCCCCCCAAACATAAAACCAACCTCCCTGCTGTTGAGCAGCATCTAGCGACCAATTTATATGACAAAAAGGATTCCCGCATTTCAACGACTGGCGACGACGAGCAGTGCATAACTTCAGAACGGCCCTCTATCTTCACGTTAACGCGGATAATACACTTCGCGCAGTGGGCACGGCCGTGCACCGTGCACCACCGCAAGAATGCCAACTGCGAATTACTGGAGAAAAATTCACCCAAACGAATCATGCACCGTGAAGGGAATGACCAACGCGTAAATCTATTCAAACATATGAGTTTCCTCGCACGCTTTTTTACATACACTTACTTGTCTGTGGTATTTTATGAGGAAGTACCGGGCGTTGCATAAAAGACACAGGTGCCCGGGCGGGTTTGCCTACCCGCTCTACCCGTAAGGCGCCATAGGCCCTTGGGTAGGCAAACCCGCCCGGGCACCTGTGTCTTTTATGCAACACCCGGTATAGTCCGTGAATTGTATTCTTGCAAACAAGTCCCTTTTGGTAGTTCCCCGTAACGACCCCCGTGGTGGGTAGCGCCAAACGAAAAATACGCCAGAGGGTTGTGTGTGTTTTCCTAAAGCAGCGGCCCCGGCAACTTCCCCTCTCCCCGTCCCCGCCGCAGCAGCGGGACAGAGAGGGGGCCGCTGTAAGAAGGTGGGAGAGCGGGGCGATAACTTTTGAAATTCGGCGCAGCGACACGCTCCTGGGCGGCGCCCTTTAAGGTCCAAACGCCCGGGCGCTGGCGCTGCGTTAAGCACCCGTGCTATCGCCATCCTCCCCCCCCCCCCGGACAATCCTCTCGCAATCACGTGACCTCAGCCCCGGCGGGCCCGGCCGGCGCGCCCAGCACCGCATCACAACGCGCCGGGGCTGCGTGCGGAGAGGACGCGGTCACGGAGCGAGGGGGGCCCGGGGCCGCGGGGGCGCGGGGCTCGGACGCAGCCGCGGCAGACATGCCCCGAGTGTGAAGTAGGGAGCGCGAGGAAGTAGGAGCAGGAGGCAAGGGGTAAAAGAAGAAGGGTGGGCGGGGGGCTGGCGGCAGTTTTTTTTCTCCATTATTTGTGTTTGTATCTGCTGACAGGGAACATATTGCCTCATTTACCAGCAGAAACTCTGCGCGCGGAGCTGCCTATGGCTGACGGAGCAAAGCGGCAGCAGGAGGGGGCGACAACCGGTGAGCGGCACCCACCTTGTAGCGCCCCATCGGCAGCGGAGTCAAGAAGAATCAAGAAAGAGGAGGAGAAAAAGAAGGAGATTTTGATATTTGAATTATTAATGGGAGAATAAGTACCAGGTGATGCAGAGAGGAGGCAGGTGCGGGTGGGTTTGCCTACCTCAGGGGCCTGGCGCCTTACGGGCACAGCGGCGAAGACAAGCAGGTGAAGAAGAAGAAGAAGAAGAAGGAGGAGGAGGAGGAGGAGGAGGCCAATCCGGGACTGTGCTTGGTGAGTCACTGGGAGCCATTACTGGCCGAGTAACAAAGTCGTACAAGATACAGTATCTCGAGCCGTTAAGGCTGCAGACACACCACACACGCGAGTCGGCCGTTTCCTCCTGACAAAACATCGCACTAACGACGGACAGGCGGGACGACGACATAGGCGCTGGCCGCCGGTCGTGTACAGCGTCCGCGTCCGGCTCTCTACGGAACTCTCGTGTCGCTCCCCTGTCGCGAGCGTACGTCTCGCGTACACCTCGCGCGGACTTGCGGACTTCCCTGCCGAAGTTTTCCGAGAAGTGTTAAAAACAGCGTATTCAACTATAGCAGATGACTACAGCATTTTGTCCACGGTTTGTCACAGTACAGAACCGTACGCCATATTTTGCCTATAAGATACACTAGGCAAACCACCTGTACTGCCAACTGCCAGTCCCAGTCTCTAAGAATGCAAACATTTTTGAACTTTGATGTTGGCGGTCAACTCCCGACCCTATCCTCATACAAAGTCCCTATAACCTACAAACATCAAATAATCTGTGCAAATACTGTAAGGGTAAAGCAACACCATGACTGCGGTTATGATATGGTGCTCCTGTACCTTATAGTGTATTTCGACTAATCGCAGAAGAAGAGTAGCGGGTAGAACATAAAAAAAGGTTCCTAATTGCCCGAGCGCTTGTGTATGACTCTACCTAGACCTATTACTGTGGTTTTTTGTAACAGTGAGTCTGACTGCCTCTCGGCACCGTAAAGGCTCGGTAACGCCAGTAACGCCTGTACAAAACAAAGAAGGGGGCTACGCTCTAAATTTCTTTTAACACCCTTACAAAAAAGATGGATTTGTTTTTCCGCTTGTTACTTATCAGCGCTTATCATCTGATCAGCTCCCTCGCGTCCTTCGCTCACGGCCACTGGCGCTGGAGTCGGGCAAATATAGACCTTCCTCGGCGTCACGCGTCGCCCGACGCCGACGGCACCCTCCCGCTACTCCTCCTGCTCCTCCTCCTGCCCCTCCTCCCGCTACTCCTCCTGCTCCTCCTCCTGCTCCTCCTCCTGCTCCTCCTCCTGCTGCTCACCCCTCCTCCCGCTCTTGATGGAGGTGTTTGCCTCGAAAGACTGCTGCTGCTGCTGCTGCTCCAGGGACCGTGCACCGGCCTGCCACGCGCCTGCGAGCCGGGAGCAGTTGCAAACACATCGTCTGATTGCAGTAAACAAATTAGTCCCCTCGCCCGCCCCGCCCCGGCCCTACCCGTCACCCAACTCTTCCCCCTACTATATTCCGTCCCGTTTCCCCGTCTTCGTCACGGCGGAGGTCGGGCTGAGGCGGCCGCGCGCCTGTGGAGCGGGGCGTAGGCAACACGCACACGCGCGCGCGGCCGAGCGGCCTACCGCCCAGGCGCTGGCCGCGGAGGACATCCAAACCAGCGCGTCTGCCTGTCTGCCTGCCTGTCTATCTGTCTGTCTGTCTGTCTGTCCGGTCCTCGGTCGGTCCGTCCGTCCGTCCGTCCGTCCGTTCGTCCGTCCGTCCGTCCGTCCGTCCGTCCGTCCGTCCGTCCGTCCGTCCGTCTGTCTATCTGTCCGTCAAACCGGGGCCACAGCTGACGCGTCACCTGTCGACAACCACCGCGCGGAAACATAAAGGACATTTGAAAACATTAAAAAATATTTTTTAAAATGTTTCTGAACTGTAAAAATCTCCATTTTGGGTAACAGCAGCTTGATTGCTTGTATGTAGAAACCGAGGGGTGCCCAACTGAGGTAATCAGGTGTACACAGAGTAGGTAATCCCTGGTAATCACCGGTAATCATTGGTAATCGCCAGTAATCCTTGGTAATCGCCGGTAATCCTTGGTAATCGCCGGTAATCCTTGGTAATCACAGGTAATCCAGTGTAATCGCCGGTAATCCATGGTAATCACTAGGTAATCGTTGGTAATCAACAGGTAATCGTCGGTAATCACCAGGTAATCTTTGGTAACCTATCAGTAATCCAGCAAGAAAATTCCTGGAAATCTTTG